TTCCTAGCTGGATGACCCTGGGCAAGTCACTTCACCCTGTTTGCCTCAGTTTCCCCATCTATAAAATGAACTGGAGAAGGAAATGGCAAACCACTCCAGTATCTTTGCCAAGAAAACCCCAAATGGGATCATGAAGAGTCAGATGTGACTGGAATAACTGAACAACAACAAGGTTATTGCCTTGTGGCTTCTATTTGGTCTGTTCAAACTTTTAAAATTTTTTTTATTTTTCAACATTTGCTTCCATAAGATTTTGAGTTCCAAATATTCTCTCCCTCCCTCCCCCCCTACTCTAAGAGAGCACACAATCTGATATAGGCTCTACATACACGTTCATATTAAACCTATTTTCACATTAATCATGTTGTAAAGAAGAATTAGAACCAATGGGAGAAACCATGAAAAAAGAAGAAACAAAAAAGAGAGAGAGAGAGCAAACAGTCTGCTTCGATCTGCATGCAGACCCCATGGTTCTTTCTCTGGATGTGGATAGCATTTTCCATCATGAGACCTTTGTAGATGTCTTAGGTCATTGCATTGCTGAGAAGGGCTAAGTGTATCAACGTTAGTCATTACACAATGTGGCTGTTATTGTGTGCAACGTTCTCCTGGTTCTGCTCACTTCACTCAGCATCAGACCATGCAAGTCTTCCCAGGTTTTTCTGAAGCCAGCCTGTTCATCATTTCTTATAGCACAATAGTATTGCATTACATTCATATACCACAACTTGTTCAATTGTGCCCCAACTGATGGGCATCCCCTCAGTTTTCAAATCTTTGCCACCACAGAAAGAGCTGCTATAAATATTTTTCATCAGATGAAGAAATTAAAGCTATCTATAGTCATATGAAAAAATGCTCTAAATCATTATTGATTAGAGAAATGCAAATCAAAACAACTCTGAGGTATCACATCACACCTCTCAGATTGGCCAACATGACAAAACAGGAAAATGATAAATGTTGGAGAAGATGTGGGAAAATTGGAACACTACTGCATTGTTGGTGGAGTTGTGAATTGATCTAACCATTCTGGAGAGCAATTTGAAACTATGCCCAAAGGGCTATAAAAACGTGCATACAGGGCAGCTTGCAATGAATAGAGCTCTGGCCTTCGAGTCAGGAGGACCTGAATTCAAATCTGACCTCAGATGCTTGACACTTACTAGCTGTGTGACCCTGGGCAAGTCACTTAACCCAGATTGCCTCACCAAAAAAAAAAAAAAAAAAAGACGATACGGAAAAACATTCTCAAGCAGTAGATAGAGCACTGGCCCCAGAATCAGGAGGACCTGAGTTAAAATCTGGCCTCAGACACTTGACGCTTACTAGCTGTGTGACCCTGGGCAAGTCAGTTAACCCCAACTGACTCACCAAAAAAGAAAAAAAAAATGTGCATACCCTTTGACCCAGCAACAGCACTTCTAGGGCTATATCCCAAAGAGATCATACAAATAGGAAAAGGACCCACAGGTACAAAAATATTTATAGCAGTTCTTTTTGTGGTGGCAAAGAATTGGGAATTAAGAGGATGCCCATCAATTGGGGAATGGCTGAGCAAGTTGTGGTATATGAATGTAATGGAATACTATTGTGCTATAAGAAATGATGAGCAGGCTGACTGCAGAAAAACCTGGAAAGACTTGTATGGTTTGATGCTGAGTGAAGTGAGCAGAACCAGGAGAACGTTGTATACAGTAACAGCCACATTGTGCGATGACTAACATTGATAGACTCAGTCCTTCTCAGCAATGCAAGGATCTAAGACATCTCCAAAGGTCTCATGATGAAAAATGCTATCCACATCCAGAGAAAGAACTATGGAGTTAGAATGCAGATCGAAGCAGACTATTTGCTTTTTTTTCTTTCTATTTTGTTTTGTTTCTTCTTTCTTGTCATTACTCCTATTGGTTCTAATTCTTCTTTACAACATGACTAATGTGAAAATATGTTTAATAGGAATGTATATGTAAAGCCTATATCAGATTGCATGCTGTCCTGGAGAGGGAGGCAGAAAGGGAGGGGGAGAAAATTTAAAACTCAAAAGCTTATGGAAATGATTGTTGAAAACTAAAAATCAGTTAATTAATTAAAAAATTTTCTTCATCTGAAAACTACCTGTTCATATCCTTTGACCATTTATCAATTGAGGAATGACTTATAAATTCTTATTATTCTTATAAATTTGACTCAGTTCTCCATATATTTTAGAAATGAGGCCTTTATCAGAGACATTGGCTGTAAAAACTGTTTTCCAGCTTTCTGCTTCCCTTCTAATCTTGGTTACGATGGCTTTGTTTATGCAAAAACTTTTCTTTTTTTTTTTAAGGCTATTGGGGTTAAGTGACTTGCCCAGGGTCACACAGCTAGTAAGTGTCAAGTGTTTGGTCTGAGGCCGGATTTAAACTCAGGTCCTCCTGACTTCAGGGCTAGTGCTCTATCCACTGCACCAACTAGCTGCCCCTACAACTTTTCAATCTAATGTAATCAAAATCATCCATTTTGCATTTCATAATGTTCTCTGTCTCTTGTTTGGTTATAAATTCTTCTGTTCTCCATAAATATGAGAGGTAAATTATTCCTTGCTCTCCTATTTTGCTTATAGTATCAATCTTCATATCTAAATCATGCACTCATTTTGACTTTATCTTGGTATATAGTGTAAGAGTTGGTCTATGCCTAGTTTCTGCCATACTCTTTTCCAGTTTTCCCAGCAGTTTTTGTCAAAGAGTGAGTTCTTATCCCAGAAGCTGGGGTCTTTGGGTTTATCAAATAATAGATTACTCTAGTCATTGACTACTGTGTCTTGCATATTTAACCTATTCCACTGATCCACCACTCTATTTCTTAGCCAGTACCAAGAAGTTTTGATGATTGCTGCTTTATAATACAATTTAAGATCTGGAATGGCTAGGCCACCTTCCCTAGCATTTCTTTTCATGAGTTCCCTTGATATTCTGGACTTTTTGTTCTTCCAGATGAATCTTGTTATTATTTTTTCTAGTTCTATAGAATAATTTCTGGTAGTTTGATTGGCATGGCACCAAATAAGTAAATTAATTTAGGTAGAATTGTCATTTTTATTATATTAGCTTAGCCTACCCATGAGCAACTGATGTTTTTCCAATTATTTAGATCTGACTTTATTTGTGTGAAAAGTGTTTTATAATTGTGTTCATATAGTTCCTGGGTTTGTTTTGGCAGGTAGATTCCCAAATATTTTATAATGTCTACAGTAACTTTAAATGGAATTTCTCTTTCTATCCCTTGCTGTTGGGCTTTGTTAGTAATATATGATTTGTATGGGTTTATTTTATATCCTGCAACTTTGCTAGATTTGTTTATTATTTCAAGTAGCTTTTTATTTGATTCTCTAGAATTCTCTAAGATACTATCATTTCATCTGGAAAGAGTGATAGCTTTGTTTCTTCTTTGCCTATTCTCTTACCTTCAATTTCTTTTTCTTCTCTTATTTCTAAAGCTAACATTTCTAGTACCATACTGAACAACTGTGGTGATAATGGACATCCTTGTTTCACCTCTGATCTTACTGGAAATGCTTCTATGCAGCTTATATTTCTAACAGAATGGCAAGTAATGGTAAAGACAGGGGGCCTCTTCACGTTATGGGTGGGGTGTGAGCATGTGTGTGCAAGTATGTGTGTGTACATATGTGGAAGGGGCATCCCCCCTTCCAGTCCTACGCTTCTCAGCTTCAGGGACAGGGGCAGCTGGAGTTTTCCCCGGGGTCTCCTTTTCTCCCTGTTCCCCAGTCCCCAGTCCCAGGTTGGGGGCCATTCAGTTTTCTCTCGGTGCCTGGCCCTGGGCTGACTGACCTTGCTCTTCTTGGCCTCTTTCATTTCCAGCCCCACCCCACGAGGAAGGCCACAGTAGTCAGCGGTTTGCCCAGACCCAGGATACTTGGGGTATCTGTCTCTGCCCCCAGGGGCTATGCCTGCATGAGGTGCCCCTCAGTGGTTCTCCCTCCCTCCCTTCTTCCTTCCTTCCTTCCTTCCTTTCTTCTTTCCTTCCTTCCTTCCTTCCTTCCTTCCTTCCTTCCTTCCTTCCTTCCTTCCTCCTTCCCTCCTTTCTTCCTCCTTTCCCTCTCTCCTTCCTCCCTCCTTTTCTTTTTTCTTTCTTTCTCTATCCTTCATAAACTTTAAAAAATTTAGATAGATATTCTTTGATTTCTTCTGTCTTACATTGCCTAAATTTTCTTCTGAATCTCTCTTCTCCCAGAAAGCCACCCTTTAAAACAAAGAATTTAAGAAAAAGGAAGACATTAAAAGTCATTGAGCAAAACTGATCAAGCTATCAAGAAAGTCTGACGGTATCAATACTATTTCAGGCCGATGGACCGTTCCCTCTCTGGGTTGGCTTTCATGATTGAAGCTTTCAGTACAAGGAGAGGAAAGCAGCCCCTGTAACGTGCCTGACTCCTGAGGGAGGGCGCAACCTCTTGGCCCCCACCCCCCATCATGGCCTCAGATTCAGCACACAGGCCTCCCTTTTCTCCCTGATGGTTCTCTGCACAGCTCAGAGTCAGCAGTCGGGGGGTGGCTGCTAACACAGGCTGTCAGAAGCTTCTAGAGGGGCCAGGACTTGGCTGGAAGCTGGACTCCTCCAGATGGCCGATGGAGTGCAGAGGGGACCACACCTCTCACCCTGCTGGTCTGGCTCTGGGCACTGAGCCCTCCTGGGTCCCCAGAGCTGCTGGCAGCTTCCCAACTCTCCTGGGACTTTGGCCCAGAGCCCCCTTTCTCCCACCCCAACATCCCTTCTGCTTCCTGCTCACCTGGAGGAGTCCTGCCGGGTTGAGCATCTCTGCTCTGGCCTTTTCATGGAGTCAGGTTCGTGACTCAGTTTGGGTGAAGAAGGCCTCCATATTTGGGTGGGCCTCTCTCCCTGCCCTCCCTGCCCATCAGACCTTTCTTTTCCCTGTCCTGTCTGAGCCCTGGCTCCTGACTTAGCCCACGCCGCCCCATCTCTTTTCTTTCCAGGGCCCAAAGCACCACAGCAGGACAGTCTCTCCAGGCCTCTCCCCTCTGACTGACCTGAGCTCCTAGGCAGTCCCATGGCTTGGCCCCTGTTGTCCATGAGGGAGAGACGTCTTCTGCCGCTTCCTCATCCCTGACATAGGACATCTAGCCAGCAGCAGACAGTGGGCCCGAGGTATGTGGCTGATGGGGCTGGGCTCAGGGCCCCTTCGAGCTGGAGGGGGCTTAGAAGTGGTATCCCCCCTTGATAGGGGAGTGAACCCAGGAGGCTGAGGAAGGGGCAGGGGCCTTGCCAAGGTCTCCCGGGCAGGCCCCCCCATACTGGGGGGGGTTTGTGCCTGGGGGTCTGTGTGTTGTCCTCCGTTAGACGGTGAGCTCCTGAGAGCAGGGGCTGGTTCTGGCCTCCTTGGTAAGCCCCACACAGAGCCCAGGGCCTGGGACGGCATGAGTGCTTGGGAGATGCTCCTTGTCTGCCTGCCTGACCAGTGACCAAATGGGTCGGGCCTTCTTCTTGCCAGCGAATGAGCTCACAGTCCTGCCCTTTTCCGGGCGACTCTGGAGAGAGGTGCTCGTCATTACCATACAGCAAAGCACAATTAAGGCTTCCAGGTCTAAAATCAGTGGCTGTAGTTGGTGAGGCTGGGCAGTGCGCTTAGCCAGGTGCCTTTGAGAGACAGTGGAGGGACTTTCCAGATTGGGAGCTCCCTGTGCCAGTGATCTCGCGGGTCCCAGAAGATGGCCATGACAAGCAGCACCCACTTTTTACAAAAGCTTAGTGGCCATGGCAAAGTCACCATATCTGAGCTTCTTTCTCACTGCTCTAAAACGGGGCTAACCTTGCTGGGCTCACCAGCCTGACCAGGCTATTGTGATGGGGATCTCTGTCCTGGCAAGGAGACTTCCTCTGCTGCTGTAAGTGGGGACCCTGCCTGGGGACAGTGAGAAATGCAAGTGAGCTGTCTAGGGTCTCCCTGCTCCAAGGTGGGCTCTCTCCACTGCCCTGCCATGTCTCAGCAGCATTATTATTATTTTTTTTGAGAGGCAGTTGGGGTTAAGTGACTTGCCTAGGGTCACACAGCTAGTAAGTGTCAAGTGTCAGAGGCTGGATTTGAATTCAGGTCCTCCTGACTCCAGAGTCGGTGCTCCATCCACTGTATCACTTCGCTGCCCCTCTTAGCAGAATTATTACAAATTGTAATTCTACATGCTAATAATACTAACCTGAACTCCAAGGGCTCAGGTCTTTTTAGCTAAATCTCTAGCCTTGGGGAGAAGACGGAGGGAAGTATCAATACCCAGGTAGATAAAGGATGGAGGTCTGCAGTGGAGTGCCCTGGGGATCTGCTGTTTGACCTGTTTGTATGAGGCTTAGATAGAGGCCTACGTGGCACACTTATGAAGTTTAGAGATGATACTGTTGGGAGGGGTGCACACGTTGAACTGCAGACTCAGAATCCCCCCTCCCCTCCAAGCCCCCAAACAACAACCCCAGCCGCTGACAGCTTAGAACTTTGGTCTGGGTCTGAGAAGTTAATAGTCATATGTGTAAAATCATTGCCTGAGTTCAAGCCATTAGGGATGATGTGGCAAGACAGCAGTTTTCTATCGAGTTATCGGGGATTGAAGTGGATCCCCAGGTCAGTGGGATGCAGGTGCCAAGAAGGCCAAGCCTCTAGGCCAGGACGGTAAGAGGCCTTCTGTCCTCCACCCTGGTCCGACCCCGTCCAGAGTATTGCCAGGGTTAAAGAAGGAGGACGTGGAGAAGCTGGAGGCGTCTAGAGGAGGACAGCCAAGATGGCGGAGGTGTCTGGGCCATGGCATGTCCTCACATTGGTTGAAGGAATCGGGCGTGTTTGGCTTGGAGAGGAAAGGGTGCAGTGAAGACCGGAGAGCTGTGTGGTCAGTGGGGGAGAGGCTGGCCTTGTTCTGCCTGGTCCTGGGGCCCCCGGGAGAGCTCTTCAGGGCAGCTGGGATGACCGCTAGCTGGGGAGCTCAGAGCCCAGAAGTTTTGTTTGGGTCACTACTGGACTGGACTCCTCGGCGTCCCTTCTGACCTCCCTCCTGGCCTACCCTCCGCCACCCACCAGATATGACCTTTTCCTTCTGTTTTGATTGAGAGCTTGTCCCAGAACAGCCAATACAAAGACACTGGTGTCCTGAGAGCAGCACACACGTGTACACGTGTGCTGTGTGTGCGTGCGTCTGTGCTCGCGATAGGGCCCTGCTGGTCTGAATCCGCACATCCCCCCTACTCTGGTCTTGGTGCTTGGGAGCGTCTCACTCCTGCTCTGACCCACACTCTTGCATCACCCCATTCCCCCCCAAATAAGCACCCCCCCAAACCAAATGTATGTAGTGGCCCAAACGTGTGCATGCACTGGCCAAGCCTCCTGCTGCCCTTTATTTAGTCTATCACTTTTTGGCCAGGAGGTGGGTGGCCCCCCCAGCCCTGACCCTGACTGTGACCTTTCCCCTCCTGCTCTCTGCTCCCTGGGCCTGGCTCCCGGGAGTTCTATTTACAGGGACTGAGCTGCTTTGTGGTAGGGGTCCTTGGGAAAGAGGGGGGATCAGGGGCGTCTTGGGGCACGGAGTCCCACGGGAGATGAGCAGACAGGCTTTCCTTCCTTGCAGCATCTCAGGGCCCTGCCTTAGACCATCCCTTGAGCTGGGCCAGCAGCCCAGGGTTGGGGGGTGGGGTCAGGGTGGGGGGGTTGCATCAGCTGAGTCTGCCCAGAGTAACCACGTCCTCCCTCCCTGGCCTGGCCAGTGACCATCATGCACTGGTAGCTGGCCCTTGGACCGGGCATAGTCTTCTGGCTGAGGCGTGAGGGCCTGCGGAGCCTGGTCTCACACTCATTGTTCCCTGAGCTACAAGGACAGGGGGAGGACCTTGCCAAGTCTCCAGTTACAGGTTGGCCCCCTGGGCTGGGCCGGGTGGTGGGTGTGTCTTAGCACTGTGGGCAGGAAGGAGAAAGAGCAGGAGAGGCAGAGGGGGAATGTGAAGGAGCTAGAGTGGGGGGAGGCAGGGAGGGAGGTACTGGAGACCCCAGGCTGCAGGTCTGGGAAGTGTCGGGGGCCTCCCAGAGGCACAAAGGACCTGCCTTTGGTGACCTTGACAGTCTTTTCCCTGCTTGGCCTCAGTCTCTCCATTTGTCCAGTGGGGTTTGCGGGGGGGAGCGCATTCGATGGTCTCTAAGCACCCAATGACCCTGACATTTCTGAAGGCGGAGAGCTAGTGGTGTGCTCAGCCCCAGCACTCACCCCTACACTTTGTGCTTCCCAACAGAGAACGAGGGCACACAGTAGATGCCCCCCTGTCTGAGACTTCAGGGGCTGGCCTGACCTGCCTGCAGCCCGGCATGGAGCCCAGTGAATGGGGCGCTGGGCAGATGGCCTTCCTCAGCAACCTCCTGGCAGCTTATTCCTTCATTACCGGTAGGTGCCCTTCCCCCCTTGTGTCTGGGCTTGCTCACAGCATCATGGGGTGGCATCATGGGACAGCGGGCTTCAGGAGGCTGGCTCTGCCTCCAATCTGGCAAAGGCAGAGGGCTCCAGGGTGCAGGAGCTGTGGCTTTGCCTTGGTCTTCCAGGCCCACCCAACAGCTGTCTGTATCTGCCCAGGCTGGGGTTGAAGCTGCCCCATGGCTCCTCTTGGTGACCACGTGAGGCCTCAGCAGAGCAGGATTTATGCTTGGCTGCCCTCTCTCTGTGCCAAGCCTACAGCCTTGTCCTGGGCCCTGCCTTGGTGCCCCTGAGAGTCTGACCGAAGAAGGCAACATGCCTTTGGATAATGCTCTGTGCCCGAGCCCGGGGTAGGAGGCACATATCAGTGCCCCGGACCTGGCCTTGCAGGAGCTCAGTCAGGGCCCAGGCTGCTGGGGGCAGAGGGCCGAGACCAGAGAACTGACCGCTCGTTCATTCCTGCTTATTTACACATGGACACGAAATGGTCTGTGCTGGCAGAATGCCGTCTCCTGGGGGCAGGGATTGTTCCATCACTGCCTAGCACGGGGCCAGCAGCTGCTTGATAGATGTGAGGTGATCCACTGAGAAATTCCTCTGACAGGCAGTGACGAAGCACCTTCTGGGACCTGGCCGGCCCAGCTGGGTGTGAGGGTACAGCCCTGGGAAGCTTGAGGGGAGGGAGTCTGGCTGGCACCTCCAGTGCGCTTCATCTTGCCTGGCACCTGGGCTGTTTTCCTGTCGCTCCATGGCGGATCTTGGCCCCGGGCACCTGTTTCCTCTGGGGATGTTTCTGGAGGTGCCAGGAGGTGACTCGGCTGAATTGCTGAGAAGGAGTCACTGGCCTGCAGGTCCCCAGGCCTCAGGGCTCTTCCTTATTCGCTCTCTGCCTCCCCAGAATCAGAATTCTGCTTCTGCCCACCCGTCGCTGACATCACTGATGCTGATGCTGCCCCTTGACACCTTCCCTCAAATGCCCTCAGTCAGCTCCTGTTTGAATTGTGGCAGACTTTGCCCCATATGGTCTCCAGGGATCCAAAAGGGTACAAACCGTACTTTATTGAACAGGCTGAGAATGCAGTTGGCAGTGGGGCCCAGGCCATCCTAGGGAGCTGGGGAGGCTTGGCCATCTCAGGAGGTCTGTCCCGAGGAAGTGGGCTTGGCCTCGTCTACCTAGCCCCCAGGACCTACTTGGGAGTGATGGGGAGAAGCCACAAGGACACAAAAGTTGGGGAAACCTCTTTCAGCGGAAGAGCTGACCCCGTGGGGAGTGGGTGGCCTTGGGAGGTGGCCAGATCCCCTTCCCTGAAGGGCTTCCCACAGAAGTTGGGTCCCACTTCTTGGAGAGGGGATCCTTCCACATGGCTGTGATGCTGTGATTCTGGGTGGTGATCTAGACCCTGTGATTAAGGGCACTGGGACTGGGTGAGAGGAGAGCATCGTCGGCCAGCCTCATTGAGCCCTGGACCTTGGTGCTGGGGTCTAGGAAGTGTCTCCAGGGGATCCCCTGTGTTTCCCGGCCCTATGCCTTGTGTCATGGCAAGCAGTTCTGGTCCTGGTTACCAGAGACCACAGAAAAGCTGGTCTCAGAAGGAACTCAGACATTCGTTTCCAGCTTTCTGCCCATCCCCGGTGGCTGGAACCTAGCTGCCAAGGCCGAGCTTCCTCCTTTGTCTGGACCGGATGGTCTCTAAGGTTCTTTCCCAACAGGTAGTCTGTGATTCTGTCTGGAAACGTGGGCCAGGCTGCTGCCCTCCCATGTGTGGCGCCAACCAGCTTAGCTTAGCAGACCCAGCAGGCAGAGGCTGCCGGAAGCTCACCACAGCAATGCACTTATTTTTATTTAGGAAGGGAAAGAGCCGACAATAGCATTGACTGCTCCAGTGGTATGACATTTCCTGGGGAATTCATGGGCCCCCAGCTTGACTCATCAGGGTGACCTGAGTCACAAAGTGCTGGAGAAGAGAAAAACCTGCAGCCTCATGGGAGGCATGGGAGAGGAGCAGAGATGAGGGACCCCCACAAAGGGGACTGACTGACCCTCCTCTCCAGGACCTTCCTCTTCTAGTCTGCATGGTGTTCCTAAACAGATGGGAAGGCAGACGGGCAGTCAGGGAAGTAGGCAGGCAGATAGGCAGACAATCACACAGACAGACAGACAGACACAGACAGGCAGATGGACAGAGAATCCCACAGGCAGACAGGCAGGTAGACAGGCAGACAGACAGAAAGACAGGTAGGCAAGTAGACAGGCTAGAAAGCGGGCAGACAGACATAGGCAGACAGACAGGCAGATAGACCCAGACAGATAGGCAGATAGACAGACTAGAAAGCAGCCAGACAGGCAGGCAGACAGACAGACAGACAGACAGGAAAGCAGGCAGACAGACAGACTGGAAAGCAGGCAGATAGACAGTAACACAGGCAGGCAGACAGACAGGCAGGCAGGCAGGCAGGCAGGGCATCAATCCTCACAGCCCTCTGGCCTCTGATATGAGGAGGTGAGCTTGTCATAGCCTGGGGTGACCGCAGAGCCAAAGCTGGGGCAGGGGAGGGCCCTGGACACCTCTATGTGCCAGGCTGCACCTGTTTAAGCTTTTCACCAGGTCTGGATAACAGCCTGGAGAGCAGGACCACGGTAGCCTAAGCTAGCACTGCAGTGAGGGATGGCAGAAGGTCTACACCAGCTGGAGCTGAATCAGACAGGATCAATTCAATCTCATTCCATTCACTAAGCATCACTTCAGTGCCTCCTGTGTGCTTGGTACAGTGCTTGGTTCTGGGGGTACAAAGACAATAACAAAAACCTGCTCCCGCCCCCAAGGCAGGGCCAAGGGGCAGACACCACAGGTAAATAGGGCCAGAGTCTTAGAGGAAGGTGGGAGGGAGTGCTGAGAGCTAGACTCCTCAGTCAGGGAAGGCTTCCTGTAAGAGGTGGTGCCCAAGCTGGCCTTGAAGGGATTAAAGAACCATAAGAGGTAAGAAGGGGGTGCATTTCAGTCCTGGGGTCTGGCGTGTGGGACAAGAGGAAGACCACCTGGGCTGAAGCACGTGCTACATGAAGGTGGCCCAACAGGAGCCTGTGTTTTGTCCTGGAGATAGTAGGGAGCCATGGAACCTTCTTAACCAGGGCAGTGACATGGCATTGTTCCTAAGGAAGATGGCTTTGGCAGTGGCATGGAGGATGGATGGGTGAGGGAAAGGTGGTCTGGCTGGAAGGGAGGAGGATCTGAAGTCAGGGCACTGGCCATGGGATGGCGATGTGGTGGAGGTTGGATTGACAAGATTCAACAACTGATTGTATGTAAGAGTGACTCCCTTGGGTGATTGGGAAAGTGATGAGGTCCTGAAGAGGAAGACGAGGCTGGGGGAAAGGCTGCTTGTTTGGGATGCTGAGAGAGAATCAGCCGGTATCTGAAATGAAACATGGATAGATGCAGTCTTGTTTTTTTTTGGTTTGTTTTGGTGAGGCAATGGGGGCTAAGTGACTTGCCCAGGGTCACACAGCTATTAAGAATCAAGTGTCTGAGGTCGGATTTGAACTTGGGTCCTCCTGACTCCAAGGCCAGAGCTCTATCCACTGCACCACCAAGCTGTCCACTCGATGCAGTCTTAATACCTGAGTCACAATGATAAGATTTCCAAGATGGTGGACACAGGACTAGGGAGTGGATTGAGGATGGGTTCAGTGGTAATGACAAGATTTCCAAGATGACAGAGGCAGGACTAGGGAGCAGACTGTCTGAGAAGGATAGGTTCAGTGGTTTCCAAGTTCACTCTGAGTCAGCAGGGGGATCCCCAATACTCCAGGGGCTCTGGAATCTCATCAATTCAACAGCACATCCCTGCTCTCCTATCCGGCAAGACCCTTGTCTATGTTCTTCCAAAAGTCCTCCACAGGAACTCTACCCTGCATCCCTTCATATGCCTTGTCTATCCATCCCTCAACACCCTCATCATTGAATCTGACCCTCTGAGGGTACAAGTGGACACCATCCTTGACAGAAAAGTTTGTTCCGACGATTTTTGCAAATTTTCTCCATTTTTCTTGTTTTTAGTTCTCCCGTTTTTGCCCTTCAATGTCCTTCCACATAATGGCTTTACTTAGTTGAATATCTTGCCAAGCTTTCTTTACATGGCATTTCCTTTCTCCGCATCTCTGCGCTTTATGAGACGCACAGCAATTCACATCACTCTTTGCAAGATTTCACAGATGAGTTTATGGTCTAACCCGGTGTTGCCTTAGGCCGCCCTCCCTGTTTGGCCAGGAAGCCAGCTGTTTCCCGACTCTCCTCCTTTCGGGGGTTCTTTGGTCTTCTTGCTGTGGTGATTGATTTACGGTTGTTGAACCTCCAGATAAAATCATTACATTTGGCATCGGTATTGTTGGTCATTTCTATTTCTGGTTTCAATAGTTCAGGGCTAAGTCATTGTATTTGCATGCCATTATTATTCTTTCTTTTTCTTTTAAATAATTAATCTCTTAGTAAGTGCCCTGATGAATCAGGTGTGACCCAGCTAACCCTAACCCTAACCTGGACTGCTTGGTTGGCTCTGGCCACTACGGCTTAAGAAGGACAGTGACCAGGATGGGGAAAGCCCTTGGGCTGCGTCATAAACGTCTGTAGAAGAAGCGGGCACATTTAGTCAGGGGAAGGAAGACTTGGGGAGGGCAAGGAATGAATGAAAAAATCATCAATTAAGTGCTTCCTACGTGCTAGACACTGGGCTGAGTTCTGGGAATCCAGGTACAAAAACAAGACCTTCCCTGCCCTCATGCAGTCTACACTTTCATCTGGGAAGGCAGCGCATGTGGGGGAGGGGCAGGGAAGGGAGTTTGTGACTGGGCAGTCACAAGTATGGGGTGGGGGGGGATGACAAGGCAGCCTTTTAGCAGCAGGTGGCCTGGCCAGCGGTCTGGGCTGAGGAAGCTGGAGCACAGCATGACTCCCAGCCCCAGGTGGGACATGGGCTGCTCAGGGTCTGAGAGGGTGTCCAGACTTGTTCTGTTTGGAGAAGAAGCAGATTCAGGAAAACCTGCCCAGCCGTGAGAGCTGTGGCCGGGTTGTGGGGGGGTGGCAAAGCCCTGGACGTCTTCGAGCTGGTCAGTCATCTCGTGCAGGGGCTCCTTGGTGAGATGCAGGTCGGACATCACGTTGGCTCTGAGGTCCTGGCTCTGAGGTGCTTGGCTCTGTGAACAGGGCCCTGCTTCTAACATGCCAACTGATGGCTTCTGCCAACAGGCCAGCCCAGGGGCCAGCATGGCGGGTACCGAGAGCCTTCTAGTGGAGAGACTGAGTCAGGAGTGATGGGCCTCCTGAGCCAGCCTTGGTGGGGGGGTTACTGTGCTCGCTGCTCTTAAGCCAGCCCCACCTGGACATCAGAGGGGAGCCCTGGGACACCCTGGCGGAATTGTCTGATGTTCGGGCCAGGGGCTTTCCCTTAGCTCCCTTCCACTGCACGAAGCCCCTGAATTGCTGGCCAAGATGTGTTTGGGGCTGCCCAGATAGGACCAGACCTTCGAGTTAAGGGCCTCTGAGGCTGCCTCGTGAGAAGGGGCACCCCTTTATAGAAGGCCAGTGAGGGGAAGGGCTGGCCCCAGGGCACTCTATCCTGCACCCTGGCGGTCACCTCCCCTCACAGGTGGGTGTTGGACTCTGCCACTGGTCCTCAGAGGCCTCTGGGGCTGCTTCAAGAGTAGAGTCCATTGGGGGTCCCGATTCTGAGCCACCCAGGCCACACCCAGCCCCACTCCCGAGTGAGGGGCCCCTTCTGCCCACCCCTGAGGCAGACACAGCCCACCCTCATCTGGAATCAGGCATCCAGACTACCTGGCTCTGTGAGTGCTCTCCTTGGGATCTCCCTGAGACTCAGTTTCCACATCCGTAAATTGGGGGGCAGCGCTGCTGGTCTTAACGTTTTGTGTCCTCGCAAGCTTTCCTTTGTTTGTGATAGATTACTCCCTCTACCAATGCAGATGGACACTGGGCTGCCCATTAGAGTATTTGAGGCATTGCCTAGGGCACAGAGAGGTTTGGGAACTGGACCCGAGCCACACAGCCTGGTGGGGGAAGGGCTAAAGGGAGACCTGAACCTCAGTTTTCCTGAATCCAGGCTACAGATCCTCTCCCCAGACTCCTCTTAACCCACTGAAACCCTTTGTGCTTCAGGTGAAATCTCTCCTCTCTAGTCTAGAGATAGGTCCTCAGATGCAGGATGCCACTTCAGAGCCCTCCCCTAAATTTCCCTGAAAATTACCCTGTAGGTATTTCATAAATCTTTGCTATCTGCTTGCATGGGCAGACCCCTTGAAAGGGCATGAAAGAGAGGAGGAGGAGGAGACAGGTGGTCAGTGCATCTGAGCCAACTAATTGTGCCTTCTTCCAAGCCCTGCCAAGCTGGCCATAGGCTTTGGAACAGGCCTCTCCTCTCCTCTCCTAAGCCTTGGTGCCTGGAGCACCCTGTCCACCCCAGCCTTCTCCCTGAACCACGCTGTCGCTGCCATCCATTCTGGGAGTGTCAGCTGGCCCAAAGGGGTGGGTCTCCAGCAGTAAGCAAGCTCTGTGGCCAGGCTGTGGATCCTGACTGTCTCTCCATGTATATACAAGGAGAGGGCCTGACAGGTGTGAGCCTGATCAGGCTGAGGACGGAAGCTGTGGCATGGCAGGGGGCTTCTGCATCAGGCTAGGAGGCACCCTAGGACAATGTTCTTATGGGTAGCATTTGGCAATTTTCAGCTTTGCTTAGGATTTAACTCCCTTCCCTCAAAAGTTCTCTTGGTTAAGTTCAGGGAAGAAGGTGGGGTTCTCCAGCCGGAGAGGGTGGCAGGGACTGAGAGATTCACAGAAAGGGCTGTACCCTTGGCTTTGGGGCTCATCACGGAAACTCGGGTGAGGCAGAAAATTCAGAAAAGGAAGAAAGTTCAAAAGACAGGATGGGGGAGCCTGACCCTGGAGGTCAGCCCTGCTTGCTGGAGCCCAGGGGTGTTTGAGTGAGGAGGTGGGGAGCCAGGAGCGCAGGAGGAGTGCAGAAGGCGGTCAGGGTGCCTGGGATCACCCAGCACTACCATTGCATGGACAGCAGTCACCGACGACCCTCCCCCCATCTCATGGGAGGTCCATTATAAACGGTAGAAAGCCAGCCTAACGCCGAGCTCGCCCTGAGCCTCCCTGCCCAGGACACTCTGGACAGAGCCAGGGTCACTGGAGTCAGGCTGGGCTCGTCTCGTGGGGCGGTAGCTGCACGATGCTGGGCCGAAGCACGAAATCTTCCCCATTCAGAAGGAGCTCCTGTTCTAAGGGTGGGGACAAGGCCACATTTAAGCATCTACAGCGCAAACAGAAGGAGAATAAAGATGAATACAAAGTGATTCCGTAGTAGGTCTTGAGGGGCCTGGGGAAGGGGGAGCGGCCGGGGCTGCCCGCGCCGGTGTGAGCCAGGTGCACCGTCCCCGCCCTCTGACGCCCTCTCCTCCTCTCGCAGAGCACCCCGAACGGGCCGCGCTGTGCTTCGTGTCCGGCGTGTGCGTGGGGCTGTTGCTCACGCTGGCCGCCCTGGTGCTGACGATCTCCTGCCGCGCTGACTGCCAGCAGCCCCACGGAAAGAAGGGCCTGGCCGGGCGCCGGAGGCGCAGCAGCGACCTCAGTGCCAGCGCCAGCGCCAGCGCCAGCGACAGCGACGAGGACAGCGGCGGCAGCTGCTCGGGCTCCTCGGACGGCTCCACGCGCAGGCCCTGGCTCTTCGAGCGGCCGCCCCACAGGAACGTGTTCACGTCGGCCGAGGAGCTGGAGCGGGCGCAGAGGCTGGAGGAGAGAGAGCGCATTATCCGCGAGATCTGGCTGAACGGGCAGCCCGACGGCCCGGCCACCCGCAGCCTGAACCGCTACTACTGAGCGCAGGGCTCGGATGGAGCCATGAGAGGAGGTGCAAGGCCTGGAGGGGGAAGGGGGGAAGAGGGGGAAGAGGGGGAAGAGGGGGCGCGCATCATCTGGGAGACGCAGCCGAACTGGACGCCCGACGGACCTGCCACGGCCTAGACCCCTCGCAGCCCGAACCGCTACTACTGAGGGCCAGGGCCGGTGCGCCCCAGAGACCCAGCCTGAACCTTGGCCTCGGTCCCAGGCCCTAGCCGGGACCAAGCCTGCGTCCCCTGAGAGCTGCCAACCACACTACCCTCCTGGAGGCGGCCAGCGCAGGGTTCCTGCCCAGACTACCCTGTCCCCTGGGCGACCTCCTAGGCACTGGGCCTGCAGAAAGGGCTGATCGTCCTGCTTCCTCTTCTTTCTCCTCCTCCACTCACCCCAACTTCAGGGCAAGTTGGGTTGGGTGGGGTGGGGAGTCCTGGCTTCAGGTCTCTTCCCCTTCCCCTCCCCACTCCAGCCAGTGCTCTGCTCTGCCCAGGCAGGTGATGGGCAGCCATCTAAGGTAGAGGTCACCTCTCCCTGGGTCGCTGGAAGCCCTCGCAATGAAAGCCCTGCCCTGGTCAGAGGAGACTGCCCGAGAGCCTCCTACTGGGGAGCCCTGGGACTACCCTGTGTTAGGTTGATGGGTGGGCTCAGAACCCGGGGAATGGTGTGGTGAACCCTCTCAGGAAGGCTTCTTTCTCAGGACCCAGAGATTTGCCCAGAGAGCCTCCCTCTGTGACTCTGCGACTTTGGCCTCAGGTGTGGAGGCTTCCGGTGGGGGCTTGTTTCTTACTTCTCCTGAAGGGCTGCGCGGCCATTGAGTGGTAACCTCAGAGAGCAAGTCCCAGTTCTGCTTTAAATGCAAACGATGGTGTGTGTGTGTGTGTGTGTGTGTGTGTGTGTGTGTGTGTGTGTGTGTGGCAGGCAGGAGAGGGTGAGAAATCTGTGAATACAGACATGTGAGGGTGCTCTTGGTCAGTCTGTCAGCCTCCGTGCCTTAGTCCTGGTCAGACAATGGTCTTCCCATGAATACAAGTCTACATTGTTTTATATATTTTATTAAAAAAAAATCAGCCAAGAAAAGCTTTGGATTTATCTGAAGGATATGGGGGCTGTGGCTTGGAAGCAGTGATCTGATCTCTTTTTCCTGTCTCCCCCTTCCCCAAGGGGGTTAGAGGAGAACCAGAGAAATGCCCCTTGGGAAAGAGACCCCTCTCCCTCACTCAGCAGAAGGATGAGCTCTTGCACTGAAGCGACCCCAGGCTAAAGGCCTCTGGCTGAATGTCTCCGGGGGGGGGGGTTCTGCTCCTCTCCCCCTCAGTTTCCTCTGGCTATTCTTCATCTTCCTCTCCCTCCTTGTCTCCTCCTCTTCCTCTTGCCTTCTCTCCCCTTCCTTTTCTTTTTCTCTTCTTCCTCTTCTTCCTCCTCCTCTTGTACCTCCTTCTCTCTCAAGCGACCTCCTAAACTTCCTTCAGCATGTTCTCCTCCTGCTTTCTCAATAACATTTCTGTCCAAGCCAGAATTGTGTCCTTAAGAACCTGTCTGCAGGACTTTGTGCTCAGTCTTGGGGCTATAAAGCCTTGTGCCCTGAGGGAGCTCCCCGTTCAGTGGAAAGATCAGACAATTAAACCTATTCCTAGGACACAAGGTAGAATGGGATTGTATGTGGAAGGGGTCGTTGGCCAGAAATTCCTGGATAGAAGGATCTCTTGTTTTCTGAGGGAAGCAGCAAAGTGTCCTGGTGTCCATAATGAGGGATGATTTGACGGTCCCTGTTCTGTTGGACCTGGCCCAGGAGGAAAGTGGCTTCTCCTCTGTCTGGTTTTCCAAGGGCATTTTGTCTGATCCCTCCTTTGCTTCTACCCTGCTTTATGTTGACTTCTTTATGCACATGATATATCCCCCAATAGAATGCAAGCTGCTTGAGGGCATATACTGTCATTTTTGTCTTTCTGTCCCCTATGTCTTGCACAGAATAGGTGCCTAATAAATCATGATTGCATTGTATTGAATTCAGAAATCATTAGAAATATTGTGCTCAGTTTGTAATGTCGCATTTGAAGACAAGACATGAGCAAGCCAGAGTGCAGAGTATGTAGCACCCATAAGGGCTCCTACAAACTGCTCTGCATCTGAGAGGTCAGGACCCACTCAGACTGCAGCTCAGGAGCTCCAGGGACGTGTTTACATATACTCGACCAAGCAGAAGACACACTTAGTCAAAGCAGAAGACATTTTGTCAAAGAACATGGCAAAATGAGTTACCACAGAGAGCTGCCATCCACATAGGGGTGACCTCTCCTAGCACCATCACCATGCCACCAGTGACAGAAGCAGACACATAGGGAAGGGCATTCGAGTAGGGGGCATAGGTTGCCAGGACACTCGAGGGAAGGCAAACAGACAGAGCGAGTGGGAGTGTGCTCAGGGTTCCCGTGTGCCAGGGGCGCCTCACCCCTCTGATACTGAAAAGCATTCAGTGTCTTCTGGGGATGTCGTTGGGTGAGCTGCTGTGTTCTCTGGGGTCGGCTAGTCTTGTTTCTCTGGTCTTTGCCCCCTGTAGCTCTCAGCCCACCCTCTCTGATGCCATCAGCCAGTCTTCAGCTACAGTGCAGATCACTCCTCCTCACAGAGGTGCAGGTCTGCCAGATATTTAGTGTATAGCTCAGGGACTGCCTGTAGCCTTTTTGTGGTGCAGGCCAGTGAAGACCTCAGGCATTTAGAGTCTGTCTTCTTAAAACTTTGTCTTTTCTGCTGCCCTTCCAACCTCTCAGTCTGACTCTTTTCTAACCAATGTCAGAATGCTCCTTTCAATTTCTATCATCACCTGATTTCTCCTCTGCAGCATCTGATGTAGGAGCAGTAGGACCAGCAAATCTTCCCTAGGTATAGTCATGCAAAACAAATTTCTGCAGTAGCCCCATTCCCTGCCCCCCCCCCCCAAAAAAGCAAGAAAAAGGAAGAAACAGAAGAAAAGATGCTCCAGTCTGCCTTCTGAGTCCATCACTCCTCTGTCTGGGGTGGCAGCATGTTTGATCATGAGCCCTTTGGGATCCTTCTCAGTCACTGTGTTGATCAGAGTTACTAAGTCTTTCAGAATTAATTATCTTTCCAATATTGCTGTTACTGTGTAGATTATTCTGGTGCTGTTGACTTCACTTTTCATCAGTTTCACCAGTTCACACATCTCTGAAATGGTCTTCTTCATCATTCCTTACAGGGCAGTGATATTCCATGACATTGATGAACCAGGACTTGTTCAGCCATTCCCAAATTGAAGGACTTCCCCTCAGTGTCCAATTCTTTGTCACCACAAAAAGAGCTGCTATAAATATATCTGTACATATAGTATGTCTTTTTCCTTTTTCATGGATCTCCTTGGGGTATAGCCCTTTGGAGCTACGTTTTTTCAGCCCAGAAATGAAGGTGTTGTTGGCAAACATCTCCTGCCTTCTAGGACCCACTGTGAAGTGACTCGTGGAGAGGCGGTCCCAAGCAAACCTGGTGGACAGGCAGGGGAATGTGTGCTGCCCAGAAAGCCCTAAGATTTGAAGTCAAAAGGTGTTTGCCCTAAGCCTTCAGAAAAAAAGAAGAACACAAACCTTCTGAAATGTGTTGGGTTATATATGTTAGCTTGATGTGAGGGGCCATTCAGGGTGGTTTAGTGAGAAGTTAGCCAAGCTGCTTTGGTTCACTCTAGCCCCAGCCTTGTGTCCTCAGCCTGTAAGGAGGAGGAGTGATCAGGACTGTGGCCAAAGGCAGAGTCTCTGTAGAGGACGGGGCAGACCTTTTCCTTTGACCCTGATGACTCTCAGAGGGACCTTCAAGGGCCCTCGACTTCATAAGAATCACTTCTCTTCCTACCTTTTCTTGTGACTTTTTGGTTAGAAATAACTGGCTCTAGCCTGGACTTTTCAAGCCTGCTGACTCCCCGGGCTGACACCGTGGTGGGGGTGGGGCAGGCTTGGCTGGTGTCCCCGGGCTTGCTCTGCCCAGCTCCCTGCTTCCTGTTTTCACTGGGATGGCCTCTAGCGCTCGCTGTGCTTGGCAAGGAGCTGGTGGGACCACCCACCACTCAGAAACAGGCTGTGGTCCCAAAGTTGGTGAGAGATCAGGAGGCACCTTCCCCTGGAAACAGCAGCAAGGCTCCAGGCTATCCCACACAGGTGCTTCCAGGGCTGTCCTCTTACTGAATAACTCTCCCCCAGCCCTTCCCCGCCCCCATCCTTAAGCTGCTTCACAGTAAGGGCTTTGCAGCTTCCCCCTTGCACAAAGAAGGGGCTTTCTAAATGTGGGCTCTGTCATTGTTGGTGACTTTGACGTGAGACTGACCCCTGATGAAGAGAGAGTGGGAAACTCTGGTCCTGGCTGTTGGGGGCAGAATTGGGGCTGGGGCCTCTGGTTATCCAGCACCAGCCTGCTTGTCTGTGCTGGGGTATGAGGCCCAGTCCCCTGGAGTCTTCTGGGTCTCGTGGCCCAAGGGAGGTGAGGGGGGAGAAGCCCTCACGTTAGGGCTGGAAGGGATTTGGCCCCCGGTGCACAGGGTTGGGTCTACAGTGTCCTCGGCCAGGATGCAGCATCATCAGTCTTCTGGAAGTTTTGGAAGTCCACCGCACTCGCCCCTCTGCATCCCTCTCTCACGTCATCATGCCTGCCACTGCCTGGCAATGCCCTCCCCAGCCTTGGCCCCTATCTGGCCTCAGGAGAAGCCTGCCCCCTCCCTCAGGGTTCTCCATGGGCCCAGACCTCATTCATTCTCCCAAATGGGTCTGCTGGCCATTCCCCACATACACTATCCATCTGCACCTGGCCTTGGCCCATTCCTGGAGTGATCGCTCTCTTCATTTCTCCCTGAAGGCTCAGTAGGCCCTTCCTTGTGGCCCCTCATGAGTGACCCCAATGACTTTGTACCGGAGGCCACCAGTATCCTGAAGAATGTCATGAGGCACCATTTGGGGGTTGCCTTTGGTTGTCCCCAGTTCCAAGTACAGTGCTTGGAACTTAGTAGGCACACTGGATCAATCCATCAGTCAATCCAAACAGTCATTAGGCCCTCACACTGTGCTAGGCGCCATGCTGGGTCCTGAGGATAGACAGGCCCAGGGAAAAATCCCAGCCCTGAAGGCACGCTCACTTGACTGGGCCACTTGGTGTCAGAAACACAAATACAGGGTGTGTACTCAAATAGGTCCATACAGATTTAAAAAACTTTTATTTTCAATTAATAGCAGTGGCTTTCTCTTCCTCTGATGTCTCCCCTCTCTACTGGGAAAAAAGAAGAAAAGCCAAACTTTTGCAAGAAACCTGCCTGCTGAGGCATAACAACCTGCCACGGAGCCACATCCAAAGTGTGTGCCTCTCATCAGGAGTTGGGCTGGGTATCCTTCCTCGTGGCTGCTCTGGAGTCCAGTACCTGGGACTGGGAGGAAAAGGTGGCACTATCATTTGGGAATCTGGAAAGGGCTCTTGAAAGCCAGTGGAATTTGAGGTGAGCTTTGAAGGGAGGCAGTGGTGATAAGGGACAGAATCCCAGGTCGGGGCAGAGCCAGGGCAAGGACATAGAGGCCAGAACGGAGGGTAGACCAGTTAGGTCAGGATACCAAGGCTGGTGGCTGCAACAGTCCAGCCTGACCCGGGAGTCAGAAGAGAGAAGGGATGGAGGGGTTAGGGGAGAATGGGGGCTGAGGGCACAACAAGGCTGTGGCCCTGGTACCTCCTCTACCAGAAGCAGGGCCGGTCGGATGGGGAGAGATAGGTTTGGGAGGAAGGATAATGAGTTCTGTTTTGGACATGTTGAGGTAAGGTGCCTTGTAGGTAAAGCTGTTCAGGGCACACAACCAAAGCTTGTGGAATGGAATTGAATCCAACTGGACTGTGGAGAGCTCAGCCAGCTCCTGCCTGGAGGCGAGGGCAGGCCAGAAGGAATGGGCAGGAGCCCTGGGTCTGGCCCTAACTCCGCTGGTGTTTTAGAATCACAGAAATGGAGAGTTGGCATTAGGTCCGCTCTATACAGAGGCAGCTAGGTGGTGCAGTAGATACAGCCCCAGGCCTGGAATCAGGAAGACCTGAGTTCAAATCTGGCCTCAGATACTTACTAGCTGAGTGACCTTGGGCAAGTTAAGTTACCCTATGTGCCTCAGTTTCCTCATCTGTAAAATGACCTGGAGAAGGAAATGGCAAACCACTCCAGTATCTTTGCCAAGAAAACCTCAAATGGGGTCGTGAAGAGTCAGACGTGACTGAAATGACTGAACAACAAGCACTCTATCCATGCATGAGCACCCCCTCTACACCAGAGCCAGCTGAGTGTCTCAGGGAAGGGGAGCCAGTGCCTCCTGAGGAAGCCTGTCCCACTATGGGACAAGCCCTTCACTGTCCTGGTTGCTCTCCTTTGCCCTCCTGTGGTCATGGACATAGGATCGGCAGAAGAAAGTGGGCCCATTTACCCTGGAGAAGAGAAGGCCTGGGGGTCCCAGGGAGGAGGGCAGATACAGGAGCTCTGGGGCCAAGCATGATGCATGCCCCTTGTCCTCCCCTGAGCTGGAGAAAGCTTTCCACCACCTTCTTTGGGCCCCTGAGACTGAGTTGTTCCCTCCTTCATTAGGCTTCTGGCTCCAGGAAGGTGGGGTCTGTTGTGGCCTCTCTCAGCATCCCCAGAGTTTAGCACAGGGCTTGGCACACAGTAAGCACTGAATAAATGCTCCTTGATTGACTGAACAATTGAGTGCATGTTGTGGACTGATACAAGGTCATAACCAAATAGATTTGGGGTGAAGGGAGTGGGCAGCTGGGAAAAGTCAGGAAAGGTCTTGAGGAGAATTGAAATGGGTAGGTATGGAGTGGGGGATGGAGAAGAGAGAGAGCCAGAATGTGAAGAGGGCTTGTGTATAACAAGATCAGGTTGGGGTTGGCTCATGGGAGGCTTTGAATGCCAAAAAAGAGTGGTTTATATTTGACCCTGGAAGTGATAAGGACCCACTGGAGTTGATTGAATGGGAGTTGGGGGATGGCCTGGAGTGGGGAGAGGCCAGAGGCAAGCAGACCCCCGCTCCCAGCAGCTACTGCCATGGTCGGGTTGAGGTCAGAGGAGAGAAGGGCACCAGAATCCCCATGAAGCCCAGATCTGCCGGGGAAGACACCTTTCCTTGTTCCCCTCTTCTTCCTCTATGCCCCGAAGGAACACTGAACTAGGGTTTGTATGCCAGCTCTGATGTTGGCAAGCCAAGTGACCTTGGGTGAGTCCTTTCCACTCTCTGGCCCCCTCCTTTCTCCTCTTGGGTCGGAGAGTCTCTGTGGCCCTTGCATCTATCTCTGCCACTCTCTGTTCCTGGGATTTCCCCTCTCAGTTCTCCCCTTCCCCCTGGAATTCCCATAGAATTGTATCCTAATTTCTTCCCTGCCTTCCCCAGTGGGTCCTGGAAGGCTCTGGTCATGGAATTCCAGCAGGTTATTGAGGCCTTCTTCGTGAAACCAGGCAGTTGTGATTAACCCTCTCATCATCAGTTTCCTGGGACCTGCAGAAATAAGGGTCATTGAGAAGTTGATCCTGACGGCCCCTCCCTGCTCTGGCTAAGACCTATTAGGAGAGAGTTCTGGCTGCCCTCCCCCTCTTCCCCCCCTCCACCTGGACCAGCCTTGGCAGGGAGGGGGAGGAAGGAAAGCCTACCCCTGGAAGCAAAAGGGGGAACTGAGGACGGAAGATGGAGTCTGAGTATTTAAACATGTGTCAAAGTTATTTCTGGTCTTTTTCTGCAAATTCACTGATCCCTGAGAAAATCCTGCTTCTGCTCTGTCCCAGGCAGTAGTTAAGTATGAATCTGTAGGCTTTCAGACCTTCTGCTCTCTCTCCATGGTGCACTCAGAGCCAGGCCCACCGAGCTAG